ACTAGTGCTAGTACTAGTGCTAGCAGTAGTATTAGTAGTAGTAGTAGTACTAGTAGTACTAGTAGTACTAGTAGTACTAGTACTAGTAGTAGTAATACTACTACTACTAGGACTGTTGCTGAGATTCCTTCTACTACTGTAAACTACTGCGATTGCTAGTAATACTACTACTACTACTACTACTACTACTACTACTACTACTACTACAAGTACTACTAGTAGTACTACTACTACTACTACTACTACTACTACTACTACTACTACTACTACTACTACTAGTACCAGTACTACTACTCCTACTACTAGTATTACTACAACTTCTTCTACTACTACTACTACAACTACTACTGCTACTACTGCAACTACTAGTAGTAGTAGTACTACTACTAGTAGTAGTACTACTACTACTACTACTACTAGTACTACTAGTACTATCACTACTACTACTACTACTACTACTACTACTACTACTACTACCACTACTACTACTACTACTACTACTACTACTACTACTACTACTACTACTACTACTACTACCCTTTTCGAGTCTTTTTACCAGTCTTCCTAGTGATATCACCGCTTTTTACTGACCAGGCGCAAAACTTAACGATTGCGATCATTTTTTACTAAGAGGAGTCTTTTTACCAGTCTTCCTAGTGATATCACCGCTTTTTACTGACCAGGCGCAAAACTTAACGATTGCGATCATTTTTTACTAAGAGTGTTGCTGCCGCTACTGCTACTGCTGGGGTCGTTCCACGCAGGGCAGCCACCTCAACAACGGCATCGTGTTTTTGGTGGACAAGAAGATGGGCACGTTGGACTTTCACGCCGAGCAGGGCTTCGCTGCCTGTTCTGAGGCTTTGTTGCGCAGGTTGTGCCAGCACATGGGTTGGACCGCCACCCAACCCAAATCAGGTGTGGACGCAGGACATCAGCTGGCTGTTGCCGCCATGCTCAACATGGACAACTCGTTGGTCGAAGAGGACGTGGTTCAACGAATCCTGGCAAGGCATCAGACTGACAAGTGGATGCCGGAGGTCGACGACAAGGACTTGGAAGCCGTCGTTCGGGACACGCTGCTCATTGGCGAGCAGGACAAGGCCCTCAAGGAGCTCAGTGCCCGTCGGTCCACGGTTTCGGCCAAAAGTCTACGACCCAAGGTATGCACGATGTACAAGAACGCCGTCTCGGACCTGGACAAGGACTTTTGGAAGGCCGGACAGGACACACGCCGACGCAAGACTCAGAAGGCCGAGAAGGACAGCAAAAAGCTAAAGCAGCAGTACGACCGGGTGTACGCAAAGCTGAATGCCACGACGGACGAGCTTGTGAAGAGCATGGTTCCTGATACTGTACAGGTTTGGACGGACCCAAAGAATGGTCGTTGGAAGGTGTCCTACAAGACAGCTGTAGTCAGCATTACACGTAGTATTTCATGGACACAAGTAGGTGAAGCTGCCGCCGGTCGAGCCTGTGTAACACAAGGTTGGTCATGGGTGGAGCACCACGAAGGACGTGATCCACCCGAAAACTTGCAGGAGCGATTGACAAGGTTCGACTCCTGAGTTCACTCGGACTTGACATGCCCGTGATTGGACTTTTTCTCCTCGTAGCACATCGTCGTTCAGCATCGATGCACACATTCGTCGGGCCCAAAAGAGGATTATTCCGCTTTGCACGCGTGTTTGATCCGTGCAATTGATGCTTCTAGTCAGACTTCTGTAATGCACTGCTACGTGTGTGAGACAGTGGCGGTGATGTGGGTTCAAGTTCAGGAGCATGTCGTCCATGCATTGAGCACGTATTTAAGTAGGCCAGACATGTACTGATATGGCGAGCCAACGCGCCCTCACTCACCTTTTGTGTAACTTTCCTCACGGACACACAAGATAATGAGTAGTCATGTAGCGCAACTGGAAATTGTACCAGAAATGTTTGTACTTGAAACCTAGGTTTTTATTCTCGGTGGGAGTCCATGAGAATTCAGTTTTGTTGAAATAAATGGAACGGAAAGAGTCTCTGTACATGTCTCGACTCGTGGTTCCATCCTCGAAGTATTACTCGTGCCATGGTGGCCCGGCCGAAGTTACAGGAGGTGGGACTGTCACGACGACCCTCGGCATACGCGCTGTTCATGCAGGACATGTGCAAGGACTCTGTGGACCCCAAATCTCGTCGTCGACTGTCCCGGAAAACATCACTTCGCGGTTCAATACATTATCTGCACAAGTGGCTTCTTGGCTGCAAAATCAATATAGATTAGTCACACTGACACATGTGCCCCTTGCCTAGAACCCCAAGTCATCTGAAGCCACGGGAAGTAAAATCTTGGCAATTCTGGTCAGGAACCCGAATATGCCATCTTAGCTACGTACCAAAGTTATTTACTTCAGACATAATTAATAAGATGTAGCTAAAAGTCCTAATACAAGTCATGTTACTTTTTACTCGGGGATTACCTTTTCACCCAATCGTCCAGTAAAATTCCTCTGTTCCCCGAGGCACAACCGAAAGGACCTCCGTGACGAGTACACACGCAAGGCCAGGCAGGGCTACCAGGAGAATCGGGTCCAACGCGAAGAATTTCGACAGGCCAAACACACGGAAGTTCCCCCCGCTTCGTTCATGGACAGAGCACTGCCGGACGTCGCAGAGTCGCAGGACTTCGACGGTCGTGGCATTTTTCGCTACACGGCCGAGGACCCACTGGTGCAGGAGAAACATATGGGTCGCGGCACGTACGGGGAGATTTTCGCTTGCACGTACCAGGGCCTGAAGTTAGCCTTGAAAGTGGCCGTTCGCACGCCGGACAGGGAGACTGCACTGTTGGACGTGCACCAAGACGGTCTCGAAAAGACGTGGGACTTGACCCGTGAGTTCACTCTTTTGAGCCAGATAGGACCTCATCCGAATGTTCTGCGACTCTATGCCTTGCTGACATCCTCGACTGGGCACACGGGAATTCTAATGGAGCGGGCTTCCTGCGACCTCTTGAAGGCCACACGGGACTTGAAGACGGACGACCTTCAGGACGGAGTTCCCTGGAGCACACGACGAGCCCAAGTAACGACGTACTTTCGGCAGACACTCGCAGCTCTTACATTTGTGCACAGCAAAAACATCGTACATTTGGACGTGAAAACGAACAACTTCCTCGTGTTTCTCCTCGGCGAGCGGGTGGTGCTGTCCGACTTTGGTTTTTGCCGAGCTTTGCCACTCAATGGAAAAGCAAAAGTCAGAGCTGACGAAGTCTACACGACGTACTACCGGCCGATCGAGTGCCTTTACTCCGGGGACGGCAAGGCCTGGACCATGAATCCTAGTCGAAGAAAGTTGAAAGTAGTAAGCCCGGTGCGTATGTTCATTCTAGTAACACTTTATGATTTTGCGGATCTGAACTGCAGGACCAGATCAACCTCAGGCATTCCCGGATCCAACTGATGTCATTACTACTAGCTTACTAGCAATGGCCATTGTAATTGAAAACTTGACACAAAGATCTGATTCTTGATTCATAGAAGAGTCATGTCAGCACATGCAGTCGTAGACTCAGCTTCTTAGTCAAAGACATAGCCTGAAAAACTTCATATCTTGCTAGTAACAGCCATGTCTTTAAGAATTGACTTGTTTTTTGGCAGGAAGTATGACTATGTGTTTCATTTTGTTGGCGTTTCCCTTAACTGCTCAGCAGCTTCACTTTGATGAAAGAGGTGGAGATCGGCCCGAAGGCGGACATGTGGGCACTCGGTGTGGTGACGTGGGATTGCTACGCGAAGACGACACGCTCGCTGTTCACTCCCGACCCGAAGGGCTTCGTCAAGCACACGCCGACCATCTCACAAGCGCTCGTTCGTTTCCAGACTGCATGGCGCGAGAGAGCACGCGACCTGCACTTGCTGGACGACGACATCGCTGCACACGTTTTCGGTTCATGCTTCACATTGGAGCAGGACAGGCGCAGCTCACTCGATTTGTTGAAGGATTTGCAGGGCCGTTTCACGAGGACAATTCAGTCGCTGGACGAAGAAGAGGAGCCGTAGCAAGTCCCCGGTGTACGTAATGCTATAACTTTCCAACGTGTCTTTCGCAAAGTATGATTTTATGTCAGACAAGAGATGACGAATGTTGTCGCCGGTGGACTCGCCCGTGCAAGTTTTGCATGACACACGTTGTTCGATGACCCGATGTTTCGAATCATTGAATCAGTTCATTGAATCTCGTAAGAGAATTAACTTAAGAAGATTGCAGAAAACCAGAATAATGTATTAGACTTTGTGGTTGGGTTCTTTTTGTTCAGTTCCCCGCTGTCACACGATTGACGACCGACTTGTGCATGTCAAGGACGGCCCTTCGGCAAGGATAAAAAGGGCCGCTCATTCTGCCATTTGGAATCTGTAGGTTCTACAGAACATGTACATGCAGAGGCGTGTCTGAAGTCCTAAGGATAATACACCGCTGTTCCCCCACACTCCTTGGCTAGATGCTTTCCATTTCCATGTTGCAGGCCCTGGGGCAGAGGCCACACCCTTCTCACTCTGGCAGCGACACACGGAGCACTTCAAGGACGGTTTCGGCCGCACAGTTCAGTGCAGTCTTGGATGGAATGTTCAGATGTCCTATGTTTTGAAATGCTGCTTACACTATGATGTTAGTTCGTTCTTGTTGAATGTGGTTTTAGTTTTCGGTTGGACTAGTCGCAGAGAGGCTCCCAATGGATTTCTTTTACTGTCGATTTGGAAAGCTTTGTTTTTCAATGTTTCTTGCTGCTGCTGGAAGAATGGGGTCAACCTTTCCGACCTGGTTTCATGATGGTCTCCAGAGAGCCAAGTCAGTCTTCTGGCTCCAGAACATCATCTGAACAGTGCAATGCAGGGGCAGCTATACTGATAAAAGCACGTCGTTCAGCAGGATTCATAAAGAGCATTATATAATTGGACGAGAGGCCGGGGCTTGTGTTCGGAACGCCTATACCTATCGGCAAACTCATCGTCTCCCGGTTCCTTAGTCCTGCTTCCTGAGAGAACATCTGGCACTCGCTGTACAGTACACGTAGCTTACCCATGGCTTTGCGGCGAGCGTTGCAGTTCCAGCCGGAGGACTTACCCACGCCGGACAGACCCCATCGCCGTACTGCAGAAGTGGTGAAGCAAGTCGAGGTTCATATTCCGAAGTACAGCCTGCAACACTTTCCACGTACCCTGCCGGCGCATGCAACACGCACGAAGGACTTGTTCAGGCTCTGGGTCAGGAGGCTCGACCCCGAGGACGTGGCATACTGTCAGGACTTGGTGCGTGAAAGCACGCTCCTCGATGGACAATACGGGTCGATCTGCAGTGGGATGGACATCGCTGCGACGGTCATGAAGCAGTTCTGGGACTGGGCACGTTTCCACTGGGAGCTGGACTCGCCGGCATTCACTCACAAGTTCGCCTGCGAGAAGGAGCCCGCCAAACGCCAGTTCCTTTTGACGACGGACAGGAAGATCGAGCGCATGTTCTGTAACGCGACGGACCTGGAATATGACAAGGAAATCTGGGACTCGAAAACGAACACGTTCGTGCGCATGCCACGCTGTACGGTCATGACGGCGGGCTTCCCATGTCAGGATTGTTCTGTCCTGAACCCGTCGTCGTCCACGTCGGCCAACAGATCCTGCGTTGCCGACGGCACTCTTCGCACTGGCTCCGTGCTGCAGGGCATCGTTCACTACCTGCAGTCGACGGGCCTCGTCGGACCGAATTTCTGTTTGTTTGAGAACGTCGCCGGACTGAAGACCAAGACCCGTAACGCCGACGGCAGCACTGGACCCTCCAACCTGGACCATGTCGGACACTTGATCAGCACAAAGACAGATCGTTTGCTGCATGTCTGGGAGTTGGACCCACGAATGTTCGGTGTTCCACAAAGTCGAAAGCGGCTGTGGATGACAGCCATTCCACGCCGGATCTTCGAGGGACTCCTTCCAGAACACGAAGTACAAAAGATGCTGAACAGCATCATGGACACACTCCTGGGTCTGAAGGAGATCTCGGTGTCGGAGTACCTGGTCAACTCGAGGCCCATGCTTAGATGGCAATGGTTCCTCGTACACCTCGCAGGGAGCATGGTTCCAGGGATATTGTAGTAGTTCTGATTTTTTTTACTCAGTAAGTTCGGAGAATTGAAGACAGAGTATCAGAGTATCGTCTTCATCTTTCTGGTTTCTGGCAGGAGTAGTAGCTTCCCACATCCTTGCCATCATCGAATCAGGTGTAGTTCTGTGAGATTGAGCTTATTTGCTGCTGCATTACTCCCCTACCACCGACATACAGTACAGTTGTTTTTCTCGTTTTGAAGTTGATTCAGGACATGTGTTTTAGTTAAGGTCCTTGGGTGCGTCTGACGGGAGGATCAGGTTTCTTCAAGATACTTCTTTCATGCCACGGCTTGTTGTACTGCCTTGATTGAAAAATAGGGACGTAGTGCTAAATGTAGGTTCGCAGGTGTGTTTCTAGGTGTACTCATGCAATAAGTACTTTCTACTTGTATTCTGTTCTGATGCAGGTGCGTGCATATGGCGAAGTTCACCACGGAGTACAACAAGAAGTTGCAGCAGCTCCAAACACGACGGGCTCGTCGTCGCCGGGCAGAACGACAAGACTCACAGGTCGAGGAGTCGCAGGACACTCAGTCACAGCCGCAGGACAGACTGGTGGGAGAATTCCGGCGACAATCCTTCGCATCAAGCCGGGCAACAAGTTTCAGCCACCTCAGCACATGCTCGTCGGGCACCCGGACCCTGAAACGTGAGAAGATCGTCACCAAGGACTGGTTAAAGAAATTCCGCCGGGCAGCTCGGACACGGCCGTACCTCAAGTGCATGACGGCCCGAAAACGCAGGACTTTGTTCAAGCTTGGCGTGAGGAACTTCCCAAGCGAGACTCTTCAGGTCGTCGACATCTCGCAGGACAAGTTTGCCCACTTAACGAACCACTCGCCGTGCGTGACACCAAAGGGCGAGCGGTACTTGACATCGGAGTGCCGGTGCATGCTCCCATTGGAGTCGTTGCGCTTGCAAGGGGCATGGTTCACGGAGGACGACACACGACTGGAAAACTTCCCGCAGAGCCTGCTGGCAGATCTTGCTGGCAATGCTTTTGAAGCGAGCTGCTTCGCCGCGACGTTTTGGGCCACGCTGGTCTGCTATGGACGACTCCGTGCCCTTAATGAGAGCAGCAGGGCAGGTCGTGGTCCCCGTCGTGCACTTGAAGTGCCGGCACTGAGAAGGTACAACACACCGGAGTTCGACTCGCAGGTTCTTTTGGACTTCGATGATTCGGAGGACGAGGAGACACACGCATAGCACGGACGCTCGACTTTCCCGCAGTGCCCAGGTTGAAAATGTGCGTCGGCTACCTAATGTATTAGTATACATACGTAATGTAGTCAAAATTATTGAAATCAAAGTCTAGTCTATGTGGAATCAATGATTCAAGCCAGCATATACGGAATAATACTTTTTGTAGATGTTAGCCAGCAATCGCCCTTTCAAGAAATTATAACTTGGAGCTGCAGCTCATTTCAGAAGCTTCTCAATTTCATTCGTCATTGATAGCACTCTGAGTCTCAGGTTTCACATCCTAGGCATTAGCAATGCATGAGTTTTTTGGTTTGTTTTTGCTGCCGCTGGAATAGGTAAGCCCCGAGTAGGCAGTAGTGCAGTGTGTGTAGTTTTGAACCCCATGCCCGTCCAGTCATCGTCAGGGAGCCTGAACGTGTAATTTCCAAACCCTACACTAGACTAACCCCTTAACCTGTTCCTTAAACCCCTATGGTTTAAACTCCAAACATGTTCCGAACAAATACGATTCGATAGAGCTGCGACTGTCATGGATTGCAGGACACCCAGAGATCCAGACTGCCAGAGCTGCGCTGCTTCCAGTCGGATTGGTCGTTGCGACCACACGCAGGGCGTTTCTTTCTAGTTCAAGTCATATCTGTAATGCTAACTCCGACAGTTCAATAAGCACACCTCGCCGGACCTGGGAATGCAGGGTTTGAAATGACAATTGTGATTTGGAATGCTTGCTTTTCTCATGACAATAGTGAGAAGGGTTGATTACTGACACATATTTTGTTGCCCAATGCCCCGTGATTTGTTTGGCAACTCAAGCAAGTGTGTGCGTGTGTGTGTGTGTGTGTGTCTGTCTGTCTGTCTGTCTGTCTGTGTGTGTGTGCAATCCTTGCTGCCATCCAATGTGTTTGAAGAACGTAAGGCGTGCACTTCATCTGTATGTGCTTTTCGTTTCGTTTACCTATGGCATCCTGGTTATCATTGAAATGTGTCGGAAACGCACTTGAAGTGCCCTTGATCTGTTTTTGGTTTTGGCACACCTTACTATTGAAATGCGCTTGAAATGCGCTTGAAATGCGCTTGAAATGCGCTGCTCCTTGCTTTCCTCGAAGGCCTGGCAAGCCTCCCTACCCTTGAAATGCGCTTGAAATGCGCTTGAAATGCGCTTGATCTGTGTTTTGGTTTGGGTTTCGCTGCTAAACCACGGAATCCTTCACTTTGGAAATGCAATTGAACTGCGCTTGAAAGGCACTGGATCTGCATTTGCTTTGGGACCTCCTCTTCTTTTATGGAATCCACCTTACTATTGAAATGCGCTTGAAATGCGCTTGAAATGCGCTTTCCTCGAAGGCCTGGCAAGCCTCCCTACCCTTGAAATGCGCTTGAAATGCCCTTGAAATGCGCTTGATCTGTATTTGGTTTGGGTTTCGGTGATAAACCACGGAATCCTTCTCTTTGGAAATGCAATGGAAATGCGCTTGCTTTGGCACCTCCTCTTATTTTATGGAATCCACGTTACTAGTGAAATGCGCTTGAAATGCGCTTGAAATGCGCTGCTCCTTGCTTTCCTCGAAGGCCTGGCAAGCCTCCCTGCGCTTGAAATGCGCTTGAAATGCGCTTGATCTGTGTTTGGTTTGGGTTTCGCTGCTAAACCACGGAATCCTTTTCTTTGGAAATGCAATTGAACTGCGCTTGAAATGCACTGG